CAGGTCTGAGTTCAAGTCCTGGATATCCTTGCTAATTTTCTGTCTGGTTGATCTGTCTAATATTGACAGTGGAGTGTTGAAAGTCTCCCACTATTATTGTGTGGGAGTCTAAGTCTCTTTGTAAGTCATTAAGAACTTTCCTTATGTATCTGGGTGCTCCTGTATTAGGTCCATATATATTTAGGATCATTAGCTCTTCTTGTTGTATCGATCCTTTTACCATTATGTAATGTCCTTCTTTGTCTCTTTTAATCTTTATTGCTTTAAAGTCTATTTTATCAGAGACGAGAATTGCAACTCCTGCTTGTTTTTGCTCTCCATTTGCTTGGTAAATCTTCCTCCATCCCTTTATTTTGAGCCTTTGTGTATTCTTGCATGTGAGATGGGTTTCCTGGATACAGCACACTGATGGGTTTTGGATTTTTATCCAATTTGCCAGTCTGTGTCTTTTGATTGGTGCATTTAGCCCATTTACATTTAGGGTTAATATTGTTATGTGTGAATTTGATACTGCCATTTTGATGCTAGCTGACTGTTTTGCCCATTAGTTGTTGTAGATTCTTCATTTTGTTGATGCTCTTTAGCATTGGGTATGTTTTTGGAATGGCTGGTACTGGTTGTTCCTTTCTATGTGTAGTGCCTCTTTCAGGAGATCTTGTAAAGCAGGCCTGGTGGTGACAAAATCTCTGAGTACTTGCTTGTTTGCAAAGGATTTTATTTTTCCTTCACTTATGAAGCTCAGTTTGGGCGGATGTGAAATTCTGGGTTGAAAATTCTTTACTTTAAGGATGTCGAATATTGGCCCCCACTCTCTTCTGGCTTGTAGGGTTTCTGCCGAGAGATCTGCTGTGAGTCTGATGGGCTTCCTTTTCTAGGTGACCTGACCTTTCTCTCTGGCTGCCCTTAGCATTTTCTCTTTCATTTCAACCCTGGTGAATCTGACGATTATGTGCCTTGGGGTTCCTCTTCCTGCGGAATATCTTTGTGGTGTTCTCTGTATTTCCTGGACTTGAATATTGGCCTACCTTGCTAGGTTGGGGAAATTTTCCTGGATAATATCCTGAAGAGTATTTTCCAGCTTGGATTCATTCTTTTTGTCACATTCAGGTACACCTATCTAACGTAGATTAGGTCTCTTCACATAGTCCCATATTTCTTGGAGACTTTGTTCATTCCTTTTTGCGCTTTTTTCTCTAATCTTGGCTTCTCGTTTTATTTCATTGAGTTGATCTTCGACTTCTGATATCCTTTCTTCTGCTTAGTCAATTCGGCTGTTGAAACTTGTGCATGCTTCGCAAAGTTCTCGTATTGTGTTTTTCAGCTCCTTCAATTCACTCGTATTCCTCTCAAAGTTGTCCATTCTTGTTATCATTTTCTCAAATCTTTTCAAGTTTATTAGTTTTTTTGCATTCAGTTAGAATGTGTTCTTTTAGCTCACAGAAGTTTCTCATTACCTACCTTCTGAAGTCTGATTCTGTCATTTCATCACACTCATTCTCTGTCCAGCTTTGTTCCCTTGCTGGTGAGGAGTTGTGGTCCCTTGTAGGAGGTGAGGTGTTCTGGTTTCGAGTGTTTTCCTCCTTTTTGTGCTGGTTTCTTCCCATCTTTATGGATTTATCCACCTGTTGTCTGAGTAGTTGCTGATTTTCCGATTGGGTCTCTGAGTGGACATCCAGATTGTTGATGATGAAATATTTCTGTTTCTTAGTTTTCCTTCTAACAGTCTGGCCCCTCTGCTGTAGGATTACTGAGGTCCACTCCAGGCCCTGCTTGCCTGGGGTACACCTGTAGCAGCTGCGGAACCATGAGGATTGCTACCCGTTTCTTTTTCTGCTATCTTTGTCCCTGAATGATGCCCGCCAAATGTCAGTCTGATCAGTCCTTTGTGAGGTGACTCTTTGGATATACGGGGGTCAGGGAACTGTTTGAGGAGACTGTCTGTACTTTATTCTTGAGGAGACAGTCTGTAGTTTTTAGGAGCTCAAGTTCTAAACTGTGAGTTCCGTTGTTCGTTCAGGGTTGCTAGGCAGGTACGTTTAAGTCTGCTGCAGCAGAACTCATAAAGCCCCTTTTTTCCCTCAGTTGTTCTGTCCCAGGGAGTTAGGGCTTTATTTATGAGTATCCATTGCACTGTCCTGCCCAGCAAGGAGGCAGTCTAATCACTGCCTGCCTGTAGGGGCTATGCTGAGCTGCTGTGGGCTCCACCCTGCTGCCGTGTGTAATTCCCTGTAGTCCTGTTTATATGGGTGTGGTTAGAGCTGCTGTGGTGATGATGGCCTGCCTCTGTAGTGACGGATTCTCTCTGTTATGGCTGGTTGCCTCGGCAATGGCAGGCTGCGTCAGCAATGGCAGTGTACCTCCGTAGGGGTCAAGTGCCTCGGTAATGGCGGATGCCCTTCCCGCTCCGAGCTCCACCATCCTGGGTTCAGCTGTGCTTGCTGTGAAACTCTCAACCCCGAGTGTTTCCAATTGCTGTTTTGTTTTTGTGGGGGTGGGACTCGCCGAGCCTGATCACCTGGCTCCCTGCCTCAGAGCCCCTTTTTTTTTTTTTTTTTTTAAGTTGAACGGTTGACACTCTCCCAGGTGTTCCAGTCACCTGCTGAAAGGGCGCTGGGATATGTGTGATTTCCCATGCAGCAACCCACTGCGCCGGCTGGAGCCACATTGCTGCCCGGGAATCTCTTGGCCTGGCTTTCTGTTTAAGTCCTGTTTAATCAGATGAATGTGCTAATCTGCCTTCCGAAATCTCCAACTGCCGGTTTAACAGGGCAACCAAACCAGTGTATTTTGTACGGAGTGCTGCTGCACTGCGGCCCTGGCTCAAACAGCCGCGCCGGCCCAAACAGCTGTGCTGGCGGCCCGTGTGGCTCCTACACCTGGGAATCTCCTGGCCTGTGGGCAATAAAGATCCGTCTGGAAATGCGGCGTCCACTCATCATCTGCGGATTCACTGGGAGCTGCAATCCTGAGTTGGTCCTACAGCGCCATCTTCTCTCTCCAGCAGCCCATCCAGAACTGTTTCTAAGCATTTGTGACCAGAAGGATCCCAGGAACCAAATGGTTCAGGTGGTAAACGCTCTCATGCAGGCAGAAAAGGATTGGTTGCCAAAAGGCCATACAGCCCGATTTTGGGTGAGATCTTTCAGCATCACTGGACATCACCAAATGACATGGAGGAAGACGTGGAGAAAGTTTAGGACACAGTTGCCCCAAACAGTGTAACATTCCTGGCTGAGCGTGTTTTCCAGCATCCACCCATTTCAACCTTTTATGCCGAGTGTTTTAACAAGAAGATACAATTCAGCGATTCTACTGGGACAAATCAAAATTTCTTGGGCTGTTGACTAGGGAGCACAATATAGGGCAGGACTGCGTCTTGTGTCTGAACAAGGATGAACGTGACATTCTCTGATGGTATGCACAATCTATCCTCACAGAGCCCTGGGTGGAGCCAGGAGGAGAATGCAATATAATTGCTCCCAAATGGGCTGTATGCAAATATCTTCCACACCAAACCTTTCTATGGGAGCAAGAAGCACAGAATTTCCACCAAGATTTTTTTCTCCAAATGACAAGAAATCTTTTTGCTCATTTGAAGAGAAATGGAATGGTGTAAAGTATTCAGAATATGCAGGGGGAAAATCCAGTCTTTACAGAAACAAAGAATTTATCTGTAACCAAGAGGAAAGTGAGTTGCAAGAACGGAGTGAGTATGAACCTTGCTGCCTCTGGAAGGGACACTTCAACCTGAAAATCGGAGACTTTGATGTGGCAATTGAAGCAAAGCACTGACTTGAAGAAAGGCAAAGAGTAGAAGCCTAAGAAAGGAAGAAAGATTCAGTAGAAGTCCAGGCTTTGTCATTAAGATGGGGAACAGTGGGTTGAGGAGGAACCATTGACTGAGACCCCTTGGTGCTTCCAGGCCTTCTGTTGGAAAATGCAACTGTGTTACTGTGAGAGAACCTGTTCACACCTTTCTTATCGCAGTTCCAACGTCAGGAGTCCTAGACTTTCTGGATGTAGATGTACAGTTCAGTTGAAGTGAGAAAAGCTTCCCCTTTTTCTTCTTCCATGGCAGTTAGATTTTCTTCAGTCTAAATGTTTTGAAAACAAGATGTCTGTTCCCTGCCCGAACCTCGTGCTTTGGAAAGCATTTATGAATTCCAGCCTCAAACTCTGCACCATAAACTGCTGTGAGATGCTCAACATCTGTTTGCTAGTTCATATAGAGTCTTAGGATATCTGTACATGTATAATATACCTAGTGCCATATTTGGCATAAGTACTCCATCTTCTATAAATTTCATTCCTCTGAGTGTTTTTAGAAAATTAGCACCATGTGTTAAAATCAAGTGTTAGGAAATGTCATGGTCAGTAACAGTAACTAACTTTTGTTTTGCAGCTGAACTTTTATTCAGTTGTCTCTCACCCTGGACTGCAATTTATACTCTGTGCTTCTTCTGGTAAAAAGCAAACAAACAAAAAGCTGTCCTGTTACTGCCCACAGCCCTTCACTGCCTTTCTGTGACTCTCGGTAAAGCCCAGGACCCTTACCTGACAAGGTCCTGCCAGCTCCCCGGCCCCTCCGCACCCTCTCTCCCCGTTGTTCTGCACTTAGCCATATCTAGGACTGCACAGGTGCTTCTATAGTGCCAACCATTGGGCCCCACTGGAGAGCGTCTGGTCCAGATGTGTGTGGATCATTCATGTCAGCGGAGGGCCCAGTGGTGCCAGGCGCAAAATAGGTTGTGGCACAAAAGAATGCATCACCTGCCGCCTGGCCTTTCTGGGGTCCTGGGTGTATTTGTGTTTCATAAGAGATTGGTGTGTGGTTTTCTGTGTGAGTTTGGAGGGCTGAGATGAGCAGGATGGAAACTGAACTATTCAAAACCTCCAAGACAAAACCTTCAGGAAGTAGAGGAAAGAGGTGGGCTCTCATCTGGGCCTCTGAAGCTTGATCTCTTTTTTTTTCTCTCTCTCTCTCCTCACTCTACACTTAGGTGGAAGGGGGCATCAGTGAACTGGAATGGCTCAGACCCCATCCTGTGACTGCTGGATGTGGGTAAACCCTGTGGTCCACCACTCATCACCGAGGATGACACCTGAACCCCAGGCCTCTGGGGCAAGTCTCTGAGAAGAGTGTCACCTCAGCCAGGGTCAGCATGGCTGTAGAAGCATCCAGAGCCTCCCTACCCCTTCCATGAAGGGCCCACCCAAGACCATGCTGGGGACCCAGTGTGTTGCTACGTCCCCTCCCAGCTGAGCCGTGAATGCTGGGTACTAGAAGGAGGTTGCCAGCGTTTCTGCTGCCTTCGACTGCATCCCTCCCCTGCTTCCCGCTGGATGGTCCCTCGCCCAGGCCTGTGATGTGGTTGGCCCCGGGGACTCACTTCTGGTAGCTGGCTTTCTATAAAATGAGTCAAACCTGTGTCAAGGGCCTAGACACATTTGTTCTATTGCTGCCCAGGGTGTGGCATGCACTGTCTGTGCTGATCATGGCTGGTATGGGGAAGGTGGTGGGGTGATTTGCTCCCCAGAGCTCTGGTGAGGCCCCAGGAGAATGGAGGTGGACCTGGAGGGTAGGCTGGACCTGGCCAAGTAGATGTGGGAAAAGAGCCTTCCAAGGAGAAGGAGGGACCTCTTGGCCATTATGGTGTGGGGAGGGCAATAGGACAGGGATAAACAGAGGGACTGGGGACTGGGTGTGGTCCCTGGTACCTGACAGGAAGCATATGGGGAGAGGGCTGACTGAAAATGTGGGTGGACAGAGCCTGTGAAGCCCCTCACATTCCAGAGCAAAGATGGCATAAGTTGTAATAGGAAAAGTGTGATACTCACTCATGAAGGGGAATAGCAGTTTGAGCCTTGTTTTGTTACCCCATGAGTTTCAAAAAGATGAGAACACCAGAAGTGCAATGGCATTGCCAATGAAGAAGGGGGTGGGGAGAGAGGGTCATGTGAAAAGCACAGTGAAGGACTCTTCTGCAGTGGTTCACAAGAACAGGTTGGATGCAGGAGCCCAGGGGCACAGCACTAGCCTCCCGGGGTTTCTATCTCATGGCTGCCCATGTGAGAGCTGCCATCCCCGTACCCCACTCTGTGCCCAGTGAGTGCTGCGGTTGGGAGTCTGAGGGGGCTGTGCAGAGGTGGGTGTGTACACACAGGAACCAGGGGATGTACCCCTGCTGTGTCTGCCCTGGCCCAGGGAGAAGCCTAGGAGAGCCACCAGCATGGGACAGCAGCCTGTCCCCAGCTTCCTTGTGCCCCTGGGGCTCAGGACACTAGCAGTTCAGGAGCTGTGTCCCTCTGCAGTGCTGACTAGAGGAGACCCCTTTATTTAGGTGCCAGGCACGTCGTAAGTAAAACTGGCATTTGGTGATGACAACGAAAGCGCTTGTCTTGTGTTCTTGTGGATGGGACATGTGTAGAGGCCTCACTGTCAGTCTTTGGGGAGAGGCAGGTGGAGAGCAAGCCAGGCCGTGAAGGAAGTGGGAGGGTAGGGACTGTCCTGTCCGGCCTGTGCTGAGGCCCCAGTGGGGATTGCTATGTAAACTCTAGCAGCCATTCACAGCAGGTTTCCAGCAGAAATGCTTCCTATATATCCCTGAAATGTTTATGCATTTGTTTTCCTTGGCCAGGGATAGGGCACTCCAGCTGAGCGCCCAGGCAGAGGAAATCGGTTTCCCAGCAGCAGCCTTGTTTATCAGCCTGGGAAGGAAAAGTATGTCTTTTCAATGAAACTCATTTAACCTCCTGACCAAGGTCCCTTTGGCAGGGCTGGAGAAAACAAACTATTCCCAGTGTTGCTGGAGAAGACCATTTCCAACAAATTACAGACCTGCTTCTCTAGAAGTCGGGTACACTGTGCAGTTTGATGCACGTTGCCTAGGTTTTCCTGGAATGGAAGATGAGCAAAGCCCAGCACCACCCTCCCCAAACCCAGATACTGAGACAAGTCCTTGGTGCTGCCACCAAGCCTGTAGGAATGAAATACAGGCCCTTGACTCCTCACCCCTGGGCAATCTCCATCCAAAGGAACAGAGTTTTCTGGAGAGGCTGTGGGTGGGTTTCAGAGGGTCCAGAGCCGCCCAGATTGTGTGAAAGTTTCTGCTCCTCTTGCAGTGGTCATTTTGGGAGAGGGAGTTGTGGTTAGCTTTTGTCAACTTTCTACCATGCCTTTGGAGTCCTCCCCAGATGCTCAAGCTGGCTGTGGCTCCTCCGGGGAGGAGGGGGCAGGGAAGCAAGGTCTTACCCTGTCCTGCAGTGGTGCTGGGTGCTGCTGTGGGCCCTCTGATGGGCACATAGGAAGTGCTGGCCGCCTCTTTTATGAGGGAGCTTCCCACCGCTAGGGACTTCCCCCAGTTAGCTGGTCCACCCTCCAACTGCTGCTGTGGCAGCTCTGCAGCCCCTCTGCCGGAGCCAGCCTCTCCTCCACCTCCTTTATGGAAGACCCAAGTCTTCCTTCTGCAGGATCCACACTTGAACTGTGCAAAGTACCGACATATCATTGCCTCCCAAATCCCAGAGATCAGACCTTCCCCATGCAGCCCATCTGCTCTGTCACTGTCAGGAGCTGCTCACCTTTAACCTTCCCCACTCCATGGGAGTGTCCCATACCCTTGGGGTACACATCAGGCTTTCAGGCAGTCTCCTTGAAGTCTCCCTCCCTTGGCTTTAGAAGTAGAGATTCACCCTCTCTGTTCCCCATGGGTGGGGAGCACAGATGCCTCTCTCCAAAGACATTCTCACTAGCCCCTGGCCTCTTCGACTGCCAGCCCAATACTTTCTTCATCCTCTCTCATGATGGGAGGACCATTCGAATCACTCTCACTGTTAGTTCTACATAGCGGCAGCACCTGTCGGAAGAGCAGTTTCCAGAATGGCAAGAATTCCCTGGGGGTCAGAGCTGGGCCAGGGCTTGGAGGGGCATGGAGGCTGTCCTGTGGCAAGGTTTATCCAGACTCCACCTGATTCCTCCCCAGGGTCTCCATGTCTGAGCCCAAAGGGAACACAGGGACGGGGATGGGACTCAGCCCATCCAGAGCACCAGCCCTGGAAGAGAAGCAGCAGCACCCACCTCCCGTGAGGGCCAGGGCTAGTGAAGTCTGAGGCTTCCACAGGCCCTTGGCTCTGCTAAGCCAGGGTGGCACAGCAGGGTGTCTGCCCCCCTGCCCTAGTCCAGATTCACCACTCAAAGTGCTGTCCTCAGACTGGCAGCAGCATCGCCTGATATCCGGGCTTAGAAATGTGGACTCAGGCTGCGCCCGGAACTACTGGGTCAGAGTCTGCACTTTCACAAATCCTCAGTTGAATCTGAGGTCAAGTTTTAAAGCTCTGCTCTGGAGGTTGTGATTTTGTGGGAAGACAGTGTGGAAATGCACAAGTAGCCCCAAAATGAAGTACTGAGGGCATACGTGGGAGGCTCTCGTGGGCACGTGAGGAGGAAGCTGCATCAGATCCCAGGCCTGAGTTCAGTCCTAACTCCACTGCTTCCTGCCTGTGGGGCCTTGAGCACTTGCCTTGAGCTCACTGGCCTCAGTTTCCTCATCTGTAGATTTACAACCTCCTAGGGCTAGATGAGGATTAAGTGAGTTACTACATGGTACAGTGCTTAGAACAGGGCCTGGCACAGCACAAGGACTCAGTAAATGTTGGCTCCTAATATTTCCAATGAGGTAGGAGGCAGCATCACATCTGGGTGTTGGAGGATGAGCAGAGTTTTAACAAGTGGAGACGTGGATGGAAGATCATTCCAGCGGAGAGGAACAGTGAAAGCAGGGAGACCAGGGAAGTCTGTGATGTATTCGGGTCTCCTCTGGAGTGACACAGCATGGGAGGCCCAGAGCAGTACGAGTGGAGGCAAGGAGCAGGAGAGGGCCTCAGGCAGTGGGCCGGGACTGGGCCATTTCCCTGGGAGAAGAGGACTTCTCAGAGTGCTGCTTCAGACCTCTCTCTCCCTGGCAGGAGAGTGGGGTGTGGGGCAGAGGCTGGGAGCATGAGGGGATGGAAGTGAAAGTTGGCTGGTGGCCTTTGCTGCTGGAGGCCCTAGTAGGCCATCCCTATGTGGCCCTGAGCTCTTATAGGATTCTAAAATTTGCAGGAGGCAGTCAGCCTGCCAAGTCTATTTGCAGGTGTTTCTCCACCCACCAGAGTCCACCCTACTCCTTAATCATGCGCTAATCCTCATGGGGATGTGGGAGCTGTAATTACCAGGCAAAAATGCCAGGCATTTGTGATAATAGAGATTGCTTAATGCAAACTCCAGGATGAGGGAGTGGGCTGATAGGTAGCGCGGAGGGTTCAGGCAGAATGCTGCTATCGTGCCTGTGCCTGTGCCTTGCTCTGGGCAGACCTGTTATGGGCAGAGAGGGGTCAGGACCCTGCTGGGCAAGGGCCAGTGGTCACCAAAGCCTGCAGGTGGCCTTTCCTGCCCTTCCTTTTCATGCTGTCTCCCAGACTTCGGCGCTTCCTTCCATTCTCCTACTCGCGTGCCCACAAAATACCCATCCTGTGTCCTGTTCCTCCAAGATGTCACTGAGGGCGTTCTCCAAACAGATGGCGAAACCAAGGCCCAGGCAGGAATTCTTAGTTAAGAGCTCTCCTGGGCATTTCTCTTCCACAGGGGTCTCCTGGAGACCAGACCACCAGATGGTCTTGGGGCTGAATGGAATAAATCTGATGGGAAGTGGGGGTGATTCCAACCTGCCTCCCTTTTTGACTCCCCTCCTGCTTCCCCCTGCAGCCCTACATCTTACTTGCCGCAGACCCCAACAGCCTCTTCCTCAACTTCTCCTGGCTGCCTACAGCCTTCCCTGATGTTCTCTGATTCACCTGGGTCCTTGCCCTCTGGATTCCCATGTCCATCTGTCAAATCCTGCCCATCTCATAAGGCCAGCTCCAAGGCCCCTCCTCTAAGAAGCCCTCCTGGATTACCCAGCTCAAAGTGCAAGTCCTCCCCTCTTGAGTGCCCACAGGACTCAGTCAGCTCCTCTTTCACAAGCCTAGATCTTAATAGGTAGAGAGTGTTGGTCACCTGACCACAGGTTCCTCTGTTGTTTCATGTACACACACACCTGTGGGGACAAACCCAAAGCTCCTGCCCACTTTGAGGCCCCTCCCACACCTCCAGGCAGAAAGCCTTGGCAGCTGGGTGTCAGGGCGGGAAGGTGCTACGGGAGGCTCTAAGCCGTTGGTTCCAGGTGTGGCTTTGAGATTAAACCTGGCACCTTTCCTGTGGCCCTTGATAAGGGTGCTCTTGAGTGTTTATCTGGCGTTTTCTGTTTAAGGCCTGTCTGAGGTTCAGCGAAGGCCCGCCTCCCCACGGAGCCTTCGGTGATAAGCACTGCACTCCCTGTGGCCTGCTCTGTGGAGAGCGCAGTGTCCGCACCATCCCTGGGCCCTGTGCCTCCCCTCCCCAGCACAGTGACTGA